TGTTTAGTGTTCTCTATACAAAAGAAATCAGTTTTTTTTACAGTGATTCAAAAAAAATTCAGAATAATTTGGCCTTTTCATTGCTCATGCAGTCAGTTTATAAGTCCACGTATTAGATGGCCCTCCACGGCCCCAAAGTCTTCCCTGCTGAAGGTCGTGTGCAACACCCTCAGGTACGCACCTGTTGCTGACGAAGTTGGTTAATGCGAAATAATAACTTATGAAAAAAGGAAAGAATGCAACGTGAGAGGGTTAGAATGACATCTGCCATGGAGTTAAGTGTTTAAACAATGGAACAAAAGATCAGAGCAAGTTGTGTGTGTGCAGGAACAGAGACATAGGGAAGAAATTCTCCCACCCAAACTAGCACATCGGAATGGTGAGGGGGAAAATGTGGGGTGCGGAGGGGGCAGGGCAAGAGGTCCTCCAGGGTACAGCATGAGTTAAAGTGGGTCCAGGACAGAAGGTGGCCATGTCACAGGCGACTGATGCTCTGTTCAAGAGGAGGGAGAGTTGGCAAAGAGCTAGGGGGCTGGGCAGAGGGACAACACTGACTGAGGATATCACATTTGGGGACCAGAGGAAAAAAAAAAAAGAGCAGGTCAGAGTCACCTGATCTGCATCTCTTTTTTTTTTTAATTAAAGAAACAGTAGTGTGCAAAATTCCGGATATTTCACCCAGACTTTTGTGTTTATTGCTTCACTGAAGTCTTTACCTCTGCTGGACTTCAGCCCAGCAGATATCAGGGTGGTGGGTTTGGTGGGCCCACTGGGGCCTCAGCACCCTGAAATTCACTCAGAATAGACAGACATGCCCGTCATGCCTAACTTCGGAGGAATAGAGTGTGTTGAGAGTCCAGTGGGGGTCAGAGCAAGACACCATCCTGGGGGGTACAGTCTAGGTTCACAGTAAATCATCAGCTTACCATTCTAGTCCACTGGCCCCATGCTGCCTATAATAGCATGTCTGGCATAGCCACGGCCTATCACAGACAGACTGATCTAAGGGAGGGGTGGGGATGTACTACAGGAAGAAGTAGCAGAGAGGTACGGGAGGGGAACCAGCAGGACAGATCTTAAGTAACACCTGTGAGTCCTGGGAGGCAGCTGCGGTGAGAACACTGGACAAGGAGTCAGAAGGCCCTAGTTCAAGCTCCGATCCTGCCCTCACTAGCTCAGTGGTCTGAGCAAGTCCCTTGCCTCGCTGTGTTTTCATTTCCCTGCCTGTACAATGACTCATTTCAATTAGATCAGCTCTGAGATTCCTTCACTTACAGAAATCTGATTCTGACCTAAGCTAGATGCCTTCGTATCTGTTTCGCTTCCATTGTCTGCATTGTGGTAACAGCCAGTTAATACTAATGTGCTGATAAGAGCAGCATTGATTTGGCTGTGACTTGAGACACTGTTTGGTGGGACTTTTGGGCTTCCCTGGCTGGTTGTCCTGCCCAAATGCATCTCAGAAAGGCCCCTTCCAAGGAGGAACATCAAGGGCGCTTCCTGGCTTTGGGCTGTGCATTGTGGGGACAGCTATAGATCTGGTGTGGAATTATGTGGGGTGGCACCTGTCTAGGTTGAGGGAGGCAGTGCCTACTTGCTCGTCTCCTGGGGCACGGAGCCTCTTCTTGGTACGCTGTGCCCTCTGCTCTTGGGTCCTGGTATTTTTTTTTGGTTGACTTTTATTATTTTTGAATCAGGGACCTTCTGCCCACTACTCCAAAGCCATCATGAAAAGGTCATGTTCCTTTGCTTCATTAGAAACAAGTTACTCTATGGGCCCAACTGGCCAAACCTAACCACAACTCTGGGTCTGGTCTGTGTTTGGCAAAAACTGCTGGATTAAGGTCTGAATGGAGGGCCATCCTACCCCAAAAGTAGCAGAAGCAGGCTGGTATCCTTGAAGCCCGCTGACTCCCACTGAGAAATGAGCCTCTGGCTACAGCCCTGGCCCATAGAAGACCTGAGAAGCTTCACCTCAACACCAGTAAACAGATAAGGACAGATAAAAATGTGTCACGTTCATGCTTCTTCTCAAGCAGCTATTGGTGACGCCCTCAGACAGGCAGGCTCAGAATGGGGCTCCAGGAAGGGGCTGAAAGGAGCTGTTGCCTGTGTAGCTTCTGTCTCTTCCTATCATTCTCTAGGTTCTGCCCACAGCAATCTCCCAAATAGGGCCCAGCCCCAGTGGTTTTTTTCCTAGCCCCCACCACACCCCTTGGCTGCTTGTCTGACGTCGTGATCTGGTGCTGTCCCTGCTGGCAGGCAGTGCTCTGCAAGGAGGCTGTGGTCTGTTGTGCACACATGTGCATGTGGGCTCACATGTGTATTCACATGTATTCACACACGGTTTGACTCAATGAGAAGTCCTACGAACACCACAGATCTGTTTCCACTCTGTTCCTAAAGATGACTTGGTTAGGCAAAGTTGGAATGCATTTCGTCTAGGTCTCTTTGCTGATGCCTCTTGCAGGGTAAGAACAGTACTGACTGAATGACTCCCAACATATGACCATTTCCAGACCTCAGGACTTGCTAGGAATGGGTAGACCAGTTGTCTCCAACGACTACCTCCAGCCCTGCACCAGTAAAGGTAATGGATGTGGGAGCGAGCCAGTTTGGCTTTCTTTCTATCTCCCATTTGGCAAGGCAGGGAAAAACTGGTCCTGTTCCCAATTCCCCAGGCAAGGTGTCCCTGATGGAGGTTCTAGAAGCAGCTTCTGTTCCTCAGTGCCACCCAGCAAGTCTTAACCTCTCTGTCCTGACCAGAATGGACCATGTCCTACCTGGGAAGTCTCCCCCTTCCATCAGCAGCTTAAGCAATGGAGGACAAAATGCTTCCAACTCAACGGCCACTGTGATCCAAGACTCCGTTCCAGCAAGGTCAGACCCATGAGGGTAGAGGTCAAAGCTGACCTTATTCACTATGGCATTCAGGTTTCAGGCCTGGGACCAGGCTAGATGCTTGGAGAGCATTTGACGAACGAACAGGAAGATGAGGGTACAGGTAGCCACAGTGCTAATGGCCGAGCACAAAGTGGGGATGGCAGCGGAATCCATGGAATTTGTAGAGTCCCCTCAACATGACCTCCTCTGCCGCTCCCCTCCCCCCCAGCCAGACAGGCTGAAGCACCAATGGTATCGCCCACTGTCAGCATCACTGTTGGTAGGTTTGGGGGTGCTGGTGGGGCATGCTGGGCAATACTGCTTTCCAGCTGAGCTGGGGTGGACTCTGGCAGGGCTCCATGGGAGGTTGGCCTCTCCTTTTTCTGGAAGGAGCTGTCTCCTCAACCCTGCAACTCTCACACACATCAAAGCTTGATCTCTCTGGGCAGTTCCCATTTTCACTTGGGGAAAGTTGATTCTTTAGCCTTGTTCTGCTCCTGCCTGGAGGGCTGTGATTATGTGCTGTGGTGAGAGGCTGCCAGCTCCCCACAGAACCAACAGCCAGAGAGAGGGGCCAAGAACCTTCTCATACACAAGGGACGTTGGTATACAGCATGGCAGGACTTCTGGAATGAGGCACAGGACAGCGGGGGCCTCACCTCTTTTCAAGACACAAGGTCTTTCTACTCATCATTCTATGTGGCTAGGATGACGGGTCACAGTCCCTGCCTGCCTCCTGCTGTGCGTGCCATGGGTTCACTAGTATGGAATGAGGACCTGGGAAACTGACCGCTCTGCTCAGATCTGAAGGCCTTTCTAGAAAGGCCATCCTCTAATCCATTCACACTCCTTTCCCTTGGGGGGTTCATGGCCTAGGCTCTAGGGAAGTATAGCTTTAGCTGAGCAGGTGTTGGAGAAGAGTCCGCAGAGGGACCCTGAGCTTTCTTCCAACTTCTGCTGTTTACCCTGTCTCCCTTCACAATGAGAGCCACCCCTTGGGCAGCAGACTTCGGCCAAGGCCTGGGCCAGGTTCAAGCAACATTACTGGCTCAGCTTTGGGCTATGGTTTCTTACCTGCAGATAGAGAGTGTGGTTGAGCTTGACCTTCAACTGAATGATTATTAAGTGATGTAAGCACTGCTAATACATCTGCGGCTTAAAGTGTGGCAAATGATGTTTGAATAAAGTCTCTGAAGGACACAACCCTGGTCCTGTCTAGGCCTCTGGTCAGCAGCTGGAGGCTTGAATTGGGGGCTGTGCAGGTGGCGGGTGATCCACTCTTGGCAGTCAGCCTCATCTTCTGACAACTTGCCCGGAGCTGCAGGTGCAGCGTCAGTAGAGCCCAGGCTGAGGTCCCCCCTCTCCTTGCGTCACTGAGGCCGGGTACCTTTGGTTTAAAGTGGGTTAGGTGGGGGAAGGATGAAAGCAGCACCTCCGGGCTGAGAACTGCGTGTCTGCAAGTTTCTCCTTTTGGGTGACAGGAGCGCATGGAGCGTCTGCTTCTGGTCTTGTGGGGGTACTTGCACAGGCTCCCCCAATCTGGAGACAGATGTCATTGGAGGCCTCAAGGCGTGCAGGGAGGGGGTGGGGCGGGCAAGTCCAGGGACAGATCAGACTGCATAAGGCATAGGAGCACTGAGTCTTCTCGGGGGCAGGGGCATCACAGCACTTAGTACGGGTCCCCTGATGTGTATTATTCCCTAATGGAAGGACAGACAGGTCAATCTCGGGACGCGAGGTCCCCATCCACACACGTCAAACAGGATGGACAGAGGAGAGGACATCTGCTGGAGAGTGGAGGGGAGCAGTACTTTTACACTGACACACACTGCCCGAGCCTCTGCGGCCCGGGATTCTACCTCTGAGGGCTGCAGCACGGACCTCAAGCAGGGACATTGTGCCCGGATGTCCGACGTAGTGAGTGTGGTCCTCGCATCTTCTCCTTGGGTCTCGCTGATGGGAAGGAAGGAAGAGAGGCCAAACTCACTCCTGTTCTCTCCAGAGGTGGGACCAGACCCAGACTTGCTTCTGCCTGAGGCCCAGTCACGGCAGTTCCAGCGCCTGCTCCTCCATCTTCTCCTTCAGACTCCTCCAAGGCAGGGGGCAGGGTAAGAACGAGGCACAAAACCAACCAAACTAGAGCGGCAAGCAGGCCCGGCTGCCCTCTCCCTGCCAAAAAAAATACTGTCATTTTTCCAGAAAGGAGCCAAGCCCGGCTCAGTGCTGACAAGGCCAAGGCAGATGGGTTGGGAGCGCGGGGAGGAGGCATGTGGCGAGAAAGGCATCCTTCGGAAACAAGTTGGCCCAGCGGCAGCTTGAATACTACAGCTTTTCTGTATGTTCGGTTACGGATCCATCCTTTTATTGTTTCTGGCTTCTGGGGGTGGGGGAGAATCACTCTGTTCCTTCTGTTTCAGGGACTCTTCTTCAAAAGGAAAAAAAAAGTTAAATGAAGACGGTGGGTCCGGAGGGGAAGAGGCACAAAGCAAAAGTAAAAATATCGTAGCCAACAGAAGTGGGTGACGAGGCCGAAAGTGGGAAGGGTGGGGAAAGCCCAGGGTGGCTGCGGGACAGGGCCGAGAGACCAGGCTGCCTCCAGCGAGCTCAGTCCTAGCTCCAGCTCTCCCGTACTGGTGGCACCCAGGGGTGTGTGTGTGGGGAGCCATCTGGAAGGAGGTTTGTGGATGGCAGGGATGGTCACTGGTCCTAGCAGCTTCAGAGACTCTCCTATGATACCCTCGTCCCTGAAGGTGGCGGTCATCTCCCCCTTTCCCCTCCCCCGCTCGGAAAGCAGTGGCTGTGCCCTGTGGGGCTCCGTTAGGCCAGAGAGTAGATGGCGTTGACGGGCGATGTGGCCTCTGAGCTCTCGTTGCCTTCCGTTTCCTCCTTGTCCTTTTTGACAGTGTACTGGCCGATGAAGGAGCCGTCCTCGTTGAACTGCCCCTCGCCCCCTTCGCCGTAGTCCACCAGACTGTCGTCACTCTCCTGCTGCTTGATGGTGCCGTCCAGGGAGGTCTGGCTGCCCTGCAAGGGCTTGTTGTCCTCGTCGCTGCTCAGAGAGAGACAGAGAATCAGGGTCTGGAGCAGCCCAGCCCAGCCCAGCCGGGGCAGTGGCTTCTCATTAAACACATCATGCACAGCTCAGAGAGGATGGGACCTGGGGGATCACCTGTCCTCACCCTCCCTTCTGCAAAAGGGAAACGGGCCCAGAGAGAGGACACTCAATTTCCCCAAGGTGAGGTGGGGCTCTGGTGTGGGCTTGTAGCTGGGCTGGGGTTCTTTTCATGAGGCAGGGCTACTGTGTGGGATGGCAAGAGTCAGGATGGGGAGCTCCAGGCCTGTGTGTCACCACCTGTGACCTTGTGACCTGGCCACAGGTTAAATCCATCAAGGTGGACCATCCGTGACCTGTGACTCTAGGGGAAGGCGCTGATCTCCCAAAGAGCCAGGATGTAAGGGGACAGACCTCTCCCTGTCTCTACACTGCTTCTGTAGATAACGTGGTTTAGCAGATACTTGGCTTATCGGCAAATAGGTACCTAGCAAATAAAAGAAGTGGGGTGGTGGGAGGGAAGGGAGTATGGAGACGCACTGAGAAACCAACGTGGAAAGGCACTGCAGGATTCTGGCAACCCCCCACCTCCCATCTTCAGCCCCTCCTGGGCAGGGAGAATTTGGAGGCTGCTGAGTAAGGTGGCATCAGCCCTGGGGCACAGATGCCCACTCTGGATGTTCGTTGTGCTCCCCAGGACACAAAGGGCTGCTCTCTGAGCTGGCATCTGCTCAGGCAGCGTCTCTCCTCCTGGCTGGGAAGTGCTGCCCTTTAGGTTTGGTGAAGGGAACCAGGTGTTCCTGGCTGCACTTCATAGTGATATGAGCTCCTGGGCTGGAGGCAGCTGTGGGCCATTGGTGGTGGGGGGGCTGAGGTCCAGCAGGTGGGACCACAGTGGTGCCAGGTATTCTGAACAGACCCACGATGCCTTCCCCTGCTCCCAGCCTGCTGGGTGTGGGGAAACAAGTGTCTGAGTCACCACTCCAGCGTCAGACTGTCAGATGTCAGGGGAGGGCCTGGAGCAGAAGCCAGTGCTGAGCGGGCCTAGGTGGAAAGCCATCAGCCCACTCCCTCTGTGCAGCCCATTCATGCACCTCACTCTGTGCTGGGGGGGATCAGTGGCCAGCGAGATGAGGGCATCTCCAGGGCTGCACTGTGTCTGGGCACAAGTGGGGCTCTACGAACTAGGGGGCTCTCAATGCCGGCTGTCCATCTTTTCCCGGGCTCTTTCTTTCTCCCCCCGCGTGGTGCATGGATAGTGTGAGGTGACTGTGGGAATTCCCACCCCGGTGCCAGGCATCTCAGCGAAATGCAATCACCGGACAGAGATGGCCCAGCGGGGAAGCCTTTAGCGTGAGGGGGCAGGGGGACCTCAGTCTAGAAGAAACTCCATCACAGAAGCCTGAGCAAAAGGTAGCCTAGTCTAACCACCTGTCAGCCCGCTAAGAACAGGAAGTCAGACGCAGGAGAGGCAGAGCCCCTCCCCCAGGGAGAGGGCAAACAACACAGCCGGGGATGATGAGGGGAGCCTCTATTTCCTTATCATTTTGTCTTCCCCCAGTTTGGGACTCAGGTTCATTCAAATGGAGGCTCTAGAGGGATGGCTGAAGAGCCCCCAGAGTCAAAGCACATCAGTGTGTATGTGCTTGTGCATGCATGCCCATGTGCGCTGGGCTGGGCATGCTCTGTGCAGGAGTGCACGCGTGGATCGTGCTGGGCATGCTCTGTGTAGGCATGCTTGTGTGTATGTGGGAGTCAGGGGTCCTCCAGAGGAGGCATGCGGGGAGGCAGCATGTCCTAGTGCAGGGTGCCCAGCCCCAACCTCACTGCTCCGTGAGTTACACCAAGGTTTCTGGAGAGAGAAAAACCTATGGCCTTTGACACTGACCGCCAGGAATGGTTCTCAGCCCCTGGGGAAGCTGGACTCTGCTGGGGAAATGAGGACAGCCAGGAAGAAGAGGAAGGCCTCTGTGCTTGCCCTTTGACTGAGGGGATCTTGGATGGACAGCTGTGGTCCATGAGCTGCCGGACGGGCTCCTGCGTGGGCAGTGGCTCTACCACCTATTGCTCTGGTCCTGCCTTCCAGGCTGCTTACAGGCAGGACGGCAGAGGCCCAGAAGGCACAAGGAGAGGTTAGGTGAGGATGGGAGTGACCTGGGCTAAGACAGTAGCCTGGTAGAGCTGGGGGAGGAGGGCTCTGATCAGACATCTCCCCCACCCCATGTGGGCTTGAATGCACCTGCCACTCAAACAGCTTAACTCTGTTGACCCAGAATCAAAGGCTAGTAAAGATCTGGGGTTGGTGGGGTGGGATACAGACATGGAGTAGCTACCAGTCAGGCCCTGTCCTCTCCAGCAATTCCACTAACTCGCAGAGGGGTGAGCATGGGTTTTCCAGCCAGTCACTCAGAGGCGTGGGCCTCTGCCCTCCCATCTGGGAACCAGGATACCTGGTTACTGATGCTTGATCTCCTGATTCCTGAGGAAGGGGCCAAGGCTTTACGAAGACCAAGGCTTTAGGACAATACAGCTTCCCTCTGTTGTTAACCCAAGTTAAGGGCGAAGTACAGGCAGAGAAGGACTCAGGGTTTGCTCACAAAGTACAGAAGTGGAAAGACACAAACAAGAGCATTGGGGTCTGCATGTGAATGAATGAGGGCAGGTGTGTGTCGGGGCAGCCTGGCATGCTCACCACACGCAGCCTCTTTGAGCTGTCCCCTCTGCCAGGTGCTGCCACCAGACACAGAGGCCACAAGCCAGAGAGCGAGGATATGGATGCAAGGACTTCAGCCAGGGGGCTGAAGGCCTCCCCAGGGAGCTAGGGACAGCTACCGGATAGGGGAGGAAGGCGGTTACACACCTGTAGTCAAAGGACCCATCCTCTTCTTTGGGGTCTTCGGGGCCCAGGGGAACATCCTTCTTCTCTCGCACTTTGTCAGTGAGGGAAGCAAAGACAGAAGTAATGATTAAGAAGCACGGCCTGCTCTCCAGGACTCTGCTGAGTGGAGAGCCAAAAGACAGCACCCTGGGTCCATGACACCCGCTCTTTTAGGAAAGCCCCCTTCACCACATTGATTCTGTCTCCTCTTCACCCCAGGTGGTTTTGGTTTTTGTTTTTGTCGGTTGTGGGGCTTGAACTCTGGGCCTGGGCACTGTCCCTCAGCTCTTCAGCTCAAAGCTAGCATCTTACCATGTGAGCCACAATGCCACTTCCGGGCTTTTCTGCTTATGTGGTGCTAAGGAATCGAACCCAGGGCCTCAGGCATGCAAGGCACTGAGCCAGCTTCCCAGCCCACCCCAAGGGTTTTTGCATCTCACTTAATGAGTCAAATCCCCTCCACCTCTCCATGGAGCTTTCCCCAAACACCAAAGAGTTAGGATCCTGAATTCTTTGTTCCTTATTCCTTCCTTCCTCCTTCCTTCCTTCTTTCTTTCTTTCTTTCTTCCTTTTTTGGGGGTCCGGTCGTGGGGCCTGAACTCTGGGCCTGGGCGCTGTCCCTCAGCTCTTCAGCTCAAGGCTAGTGCTCTACCACTTGAGCCACAGCGCCACTTCTGGCTTTTTTCCTTTTGCTTATATGGTGCTGAGGAATCGAACCCAGGGCCTCATGCACGCAAGGCAAGCGCTCTACCACTGAGCCACCTTCCCAGCCCTATTCCTTTCTTATTCCGCTCATTATTATGATTTGTATATACTTCCTATGTCCATAATGCTAGCTCCCTCCTCAAGGGTGAAGGACTGGTGTTTCTGCACAGGTCCGTAGCAGTGGCCTGGGATGACGGACACTTCCTCCATCTGTGAGACAGCAGTGTTCTTCTGTTTAGATGCCACTTGTCAGCCTGCTCCCTCTTCCAAACACATATACACAGCCAACCAAGGCCTGTGCTGCTGACTATAGCTCTTCCCTTTGAGTAGAGCAATGCCATGCAGTTAAGTCTCCCCCAGCACCCCTAACACCTCTCATAGAGCTAAATAATCACCCCCAATTTAGGTAGATAACTGAGGTCCTGATGTAATGGGTCCCAGAGCTAATCAGCATCTGCAGGAAGATGCGATTGAGGATGAATCCAGGCTCCTGCTCACTCCTCTTTCTGATGTACCAGCCCAGGGGCTTATTCTGAAGTTGAAGGAAGAGAACTAGCTGTGATCACTATCTGTGCACTGTCTGAAGGGGCCAAGACAGGCTCAGAGTTTATCTGACACATTCCCCAGGTGTCTAGTTCTACTTGGGAAAGAGAAAAAGACTCAGTGCGTCTGCCTGAGTCTGGACATCACAGGAAGGCCAGGCCTCTCCTGTACTCTTACAGAAAACAAACCAGAGGCAACAAACACAGCAGAGAGCCATTAAGGAGCGGTAATTCCCCACCTCCCTCACATAAGCAGAGGCCTGGCTTCAGGATCCTTGGGTCTGTGGATACCTGACAGAGGAGGGAAGTAAACATCTTCTCTCTCCATTTCCTTTGTATTGTTTTAGGGGTTGGGGCGGGGAGGATCTGTTCGTACAGAGGGGGAGGAGAGAGCATCTGAGGAGTGGCAGGTGTCTGGTAAGGAGTGAGTTCATTCTATAGCCCAGCAGGACTTGTGTTCTCATTTTCGCCATCCATTACTGTGTCTCCTGACACCCTACCCCTGCATTACAGGCAGATGGCTGAAAATCAATATTTTCAGGAACAAGAAAGCCAGAGGTCCCTTACCTTGACCTTGGTTTGTCTGGCCTGGAGGATTTTTTTTTCCAGTACTGGGGATTGAACTCAGGGCCTTCTGCTTGCCAGGCAGCCACTCTAACAACTCACTTTCCCCAGATCCCTTTTCTTTTTATTTTATTGTATGATAGGAGCCCACCAACTTTTCCCTAGCTGACCCCCAGCTCACAGTCCCAAGTGCAGAGATGCTGTTGGAAATGACTCTGTGATACTACTTTAGGACCATCTAGGGCCACTTAAGAGCGCCATGGGGTCCTACCACAGCAGGCCACCCCTCAGCTCTTCCTTGCCCACCTGAGGAGCTGCTGAGCCTGGTATAGGTTTAGCCTTCATCCTGCCCAGGCTCCTCTTCTGGAACTCTCTGGACAGCCTGTGCCCCACCCTGGGAGAATGCAATTAACTCAAGCACCTGCTAGCAGCTCTAAGAGGCAGAGAGCAGCCCCAGGACCAGAGTTCCAACATGGAGAATCAAGGACAGTACCCCAGACCTGGCTGGGATGTGGGGACTCACAGGAAGGCTTGCTTCTGACCCGTTCTTCCATCTCACCTGGGTATTTGCCACCTCGGCTCCTCTTGATGAAGCAGACGATGAGTAGGATCAGCACCAGGAGGGCGATGGCACACATGAGTCCGATGAACCAGCCCTGGGTGGCAATGTCGGTGTGGTTGTTGGTGTAAGCTGGCAGGGAGGGTGGGAAGCACACCGGTGAGTGCATGGGGAGGGAGGGAGGGATGTGTGAGGGGTGCAGTTACTTCTTACCCAACTTGCTCGAGGGACATAAAGAAAACGGACAGAGCGCGGGTAAAAGGTCAGAAAAGAGGCCAAGGACAGGGGTGCAGGGTGCATGGAAGCAGAGAAGCAGCAGCAGGCGGAATCCTGGGGTGAGCATGGCATTCTTGCAAACGTGAGTGCTGGCCACAGCCTAGCGGGGCTGGCAGAGGCCAGGGAGGCCCACAGAAGCACAATTTTGGGTGAATGAGCTCAGAGAGCCAGGCTGCGACCACACTGCACAACCTGCCGTCAGAATGTCCCGCGTGGTCGCAAAGCAGCATCCTTGCCCCACAGCACGGCCCTGAAGCCAACCAGCTTTTGGCAGAGGGCCCTGGACCAGGTGAAGGTCCAGGGAACCCTGAGCCTCTGCATGTCTCCCCAGATTCCTGACAACCACCACCCAGGCCTGGGGACTCTAGATAGGCCAGTGATGGTAGGCCTCCTGCTCGGGCCAGTCACTAATAGACGATTCACACAGGGAGACGCCGCTGGTGAGCATGACAAGCCGCTTGCTTCTCCCTGCTCTATGACAATCAACTTCTCTATCCATGCAGGGACCCCTCTCCAAGACCCTTTGTGGCTTGAAGGGCATGCAGAAGGTCCAAGGGCAGGAGCCTCTGATGATTCCAAGATGGCCCATGACTGGGGTTCAGGCTTGGGAGGGCTAGGATTGATGAGAAAGTGCTTCTGAGCTCCTGGCACTCGGACTGCCCAGAGGAGCCTCACCCACAAAGCAGTGGACAAGTCCATGGACACATGGCCGGGATTTCTCCCATCTACATAGGTTTCCATGCCTGCCCCCGCACCTCATCAGACATGGTCTTCAAATCCCCCCACAGGATCAAAACACCACCTCATTTCAACCCTCCAAAGCATCTCACTGCTGTTGTAAGAAAGCTACACTTCCCGTCCAGAGCTGCCAGGCTCTTTAGCAATCTGACCCCCCCCCCCCCCCCCCCCCCCCGCCCAACTAGCCACGCTCTAACAAAGAGTCCTGGTTTGTCTTTTTCTCAGCACTCAGCACATATAACCATTTGCTGCATGACTACCAGTACTCATTTCTCCTTACACACAGTTCCGTGGCCATTCTTAATTATTTTCTCAGACATGAGTTCAGTTCTCGCCACAACGCCACAACCTCATGAGGCAGGCTTTGATTTTCAATCCTTATTTGGCAGATGAGGAAATGCTTGCTCAAGGTCACAGAGCCCAGAAGTGGTAGGGTGGGGGGTGTGACTGCAGGCCGTCTGGCTTGTCCGAGCTCCTCTGCATCCCATCTCCCTGTGCCCACAGGCAAGCTGCTGTTGGGTTTGCCCCATTCCCTGGGGCTGGGCACACAGCCGGGCAGGGTGGACCTGGAATGGTGGACACCCCACATTTGTGTGGAGGATGAGCCCTGCACTTCCTTCCCTCTGCTCAGCCCCCTCCCTCCCCCTGGCTCCAGGGGCTGCTGCTACCTAACTGCTCCCTCCCCCTTCCAAACTTTTGTGTCATCCTGGCACTCAGCTTGGTTTTTGCCGTGAGTCCCTGGCAAAAACCGTAGTCAGGCCAATCACAGTGTCACTTGGTCACTCATCATTCTGCTGGATGTCACAGCCTAGGGTCCAGCAAGCTTTCTACTCCTCCCTCACTGTCCCCCTGGGCGGCTGCCCTGCTCTGTGTGGCTTCTCCACTCCACCAATGCCTCAGAGCCCCCCAGCCCTCACCACCTCTGCAGCCACCCCGCTCTGCGCCCGGGAGGGCTCTCCTCCTCAGCATTAAGTGAGGCTCAATGCCAGCCAGACGTCTCAGCTGTCATGCCCTGCGGCGCTCCTGCGAGCTCCTTCCTCCTCCTCGCCCATGTGCCTATGGGTCCCCTGAGCCCGTTCCTCGCCTCCAGGGACAATGTTTCAGCTGCCATCGCCAGCCACCTGTCCCACCCCTACTTCTGCGCCGGACACTGTGCCCTGACTTCCAGCTGGTAACCCTATTTTTCATTTCTATGACCTGTGGGTCCAGCGCCCTGCCTCTGCCGGGGCTCCCACTCTTCCCACCCACCGGGGCTGCCATGGCCCCCTCCACAGGGCTCACATTCAGGCATGCTCTGCTCTGGACAGACCCTCAGGTCAGGCCTATCGGTACCCATGGGCACAGCGAGACCTGGTGTTACTGCTACTCTCATACAACACCTCTAGCTGCTCCAACTCATACCATCCCTGGACCCTTAAATACATATTAATACTTAAGTTCTTTTTCCTGGGTACTGGTTTCCCAGTAGTCTGGAGAACAGGTCTTTTTGAGCTCCTGTGAACTTAGCATCAAACTGGCCATGTGACGAGGAGTCAGTGACTCCTCTTAAGCGATCACTTTCATTCCAGTGGAACATGGTCAGCCTGGAACCCCATTCTAGGCCCCCTCTCCATACCAGGTGTTGGTCACACAGATCCAAGCTTGTCACCCATCATGCCTGGACACTGGATCCTTCACTTGTGAGTACAAGGTGGTGCCTATCTTTTGCACCAACACTGGTCTGCATTTCTGTAGCGATTCACTTGAGCCTCATCTTGCTGGTGCCTGCTCTAATACCCCAGCGGCTCCTCCATGATATAGCTTCACTCTTGGGAAAGAAGGTCATGACCCCAGGAAGAGTGGCCACATGGGCAATTTAAAAAGCAAATGTAGCATTCTGGTCCTGCCAGTGCCAGAGTGGAGTCCGGGTGGCCTTTCAGTTGTGACTGGAAAGGCCAAAAGCCTTCTGTGAAGTCTGGGCACAAAAGACTGTTCTGAAGCAAGTGGGACTGGATGCTGGTGGCTTATACCTGTAATCTTCGCTGAGATCTGAGGTTCCCAACTCAAAGCCAGCCAGAGCAGAAGTCTGTGAGACTCTTATCTCCAATTAACCAGAAGAAAAATCAGAACAAAACCAGAAGTAGAGCTGGAGCTGTGACTCAAGTGGTAGAGTGCTAACCTTGAACAACAGCAACAAAAAAACCCTAAGAGACAGAGATCAGGCCCTGAGTTCAAGTCCCAGTACTGGCACAAAAAAGTAGGATCTATACCCCATCCAAGGGATACAGTTTTTAACGAAATTGAAGTCAGAACGATCTTGGAGTCTGAGAGGAAGGTGCTGCAGCTGGGCTCCAGAGTAATTTTATTTCCCTGCCAGTGCCACACTCAATCGATCTGCTAATCTGGCTCTGAGGTTCCTAATGAGCCCAACAGTATCAGACTGGCAGAATTTCCATTCACCACCGTGAGCGGCTGGGGATGGATGCCAGAACATGGTCCTCTCCCCTAGCCTGGCAAGCACAGGAAAGCCTTGGTGTACAACTGTCCACACCACACACTGTGACCCCTGGGGAAATTCACCTGGCAGGTAGGCAATACCACCGACTTCTAACTGGGAGGAATCTGGCTTGACCAGAGAAGATAGGCCAGTTGTCCAATGTATTCTAGAAGTGTAAGAGGGGTGTCCTTGTTTCACATACAATGTGGCTCATCTGCTCTTAAGCACCATGTTGCTTCTCCCTCCATACCTGTCTGTCTGTCCCACAGTCCCTCCCTGCTTCCCTGAGGTCTGAGCAGCAGCCTGACTTCTGGTCAGCTGTTAGCATGCACCAGACGCTGCTTCACCCTGTCCATACATCCTATCTCAGTAGGGAGGCCCAGATGGGCCTCTAAGAGTCTAAGGTTAGGTGTTTATAGCCCTTCAGGTTTCTTTGGCTTCAAAAGCTTCAAGGAGGTTATTAGCTTCCCAATAGGATGTTCTGGTGAAGGTCAGAGAACCCGTTAGTGTTCCCCCGGGTGGTCCCTTCCATTTCCTTCCCAAACCACAGCAGCATGTGGTCAGCAGAGGAAAGTCTTGGCCTGTGGTTGCCTGGACCGCAGGTGGTAGGGGACAAGAGATGCTCACAAATTCTTGCTTTGGTGAAACACAGGGACCTGGAGTTGTGTGAACTTGACTCTAGAGTCCACCCACAGAAAATTGTGTTCCTGAAGGACCTGGACACACAGCTTCAGAAGGTGAAAATGTTTTCTCTCCCCATGTGTTTTGTACACTAATTTCCAATGAGCCTGGGAAGGACATGAACAATCTGAACTCGGGGACAGGGCCACGAGCCTGCCTGCTCTAGCTTGTCTCAACTGCTCTGAAAGCAGGACACATGGACTCTCTCCAGGCCCAGGATAGAAGAGCAACGAGTACTTAGGTCACTGTTCAGGAGCACACAACAGCACTGTGAGCTTTCTCCATACTGTGACCTTGGCTCCTTGAAGATGAGGATATCTTCATGGGAGTGGTTGTGTTCTCTCTGTTTTTATTTTTTCCCACTCTGACCTACAGCCACACCCAAAAGCTGACTCTGATACGTTCCCAGCATTCTCAAAAATGGGCCTCTATCCTCAAGCTTTGCTTCTGACCTCAGAAATGCATGTACCAGTGAGAGAGAGTACGGGACCCCCCCCCAACTGGGGCAGACTCCACCCCTCTGCTCTACGGGGTCACCTAACTGTCCAGCAGCCTGGCTCCCTGTGACAGGATAGCCTAGATGCTCACTCTGATATCCTGCCTCAATTGGCTCAGTCTCTGTCAAGCGGGGTCACCCCCAAGAGCGTAGAATTGCACGGGACAGGTGACAGTGTGGGGAGGAAGACTGAGGGGGAGAGACTGGGCTAGGAGGGGAGACAGTAGCACAGATGGGCAGTGAGTCCCAAGATGCGGGGTACCAGCATCAGCCTCAGCTTTGCCTGGCCAGGCATGGGGAGGTCATGAATATTCAAATCAACATCCAGAAATTCATCTAAATCATTGTGGTTTGTTCCCTACCCTGTGTGTTTAATAACCTGCATCTGATTAGAACATCCCTAGAGGCTGGGCCTGATCCTTTTCTCTCTTAATCTCTTTCCCTCCCCTCTCCTGTAGCTCCAGG